AATGGATTACTGTAATTATTCCAGTGTTTTCCTTTACGTTTATCGGTGTAACCTTTAATTGCTTTAATTGAGGATTCACTATCTGTAATTATTTTTATTGAAATTTTATTAGGAATTACCCATAGGACTGAAAGTATAGCCCATAGTTCAGCTCTTGTTGATAAAGGTGGACCCTCAACTTTTCCTTTCCATTCAATTCTTCCTAAGTTGGAATTTTCTACGAGACATAATGCTCCAAAACCCATACGTTGTTTTTTTATTTCTATATAATTTGAGCTATTTAAAGTCACATCTGTGATAAGAGATCCATCTGTATATACTATTATTTGTTTGCTTCTTTGTAATTTTCTAGTACATTCTTCTAACATTTCTAAAGTTTGTATATCGGTATCAATAATTTTTTGTAAAAAAGTTTGATTATCTATATTATGTTTAAATTGTTTTTTTTTACTTTGTTTTGGATTATTTTCATGATAGTGTCATAGAGAGCTAGGAGATATCACAACTCTGGTTTTGATTCTTTTATCTTCTGGATTTCCGATTGAGACCCGTGAATTTCTAGTTGGTAAATAATTAACTTTTGTAACTTCTGCTGTGATTGCACAGTACTTAGTGTTTGATCCTTTATTTTTTATATCTAGTGTGAAGAGTGATTCTTGTAACAGACATCCTTCACATACTTTAAGTGGTGAAAATGTCTCCTGTTCTGTTGTTTCTTGAATCATATGTCTCATTACTACAGTTTGGTCACGTGATTTGAGCTCACGAGTTATTTTTCCTATTATAGGTCCTTGCGAGTGGTTTGTAGTTATTATTTTTCCCTTTAGATTTGAAGATTTGTCTATCAGAGTTAGCCTGTTAATAGAATTTACATTTGATGAGTTTTGTATATACTCCCATTTTTGTTCGATTTTGTTGCTGAGGTCTATATACCAGGTTGTATTGTGTTTTGGGATATCGTATTGGTGGATCCGTTTTAATTTCAATATTTTTGTCATATCTGCATTTAGTAATTGTTCGATATACATTACTCTATATTTTCTTAGACTATCTCGATGTTTGTGATACCATAGTTCTGAGTTTATAAATGATTCAATATCTAGGTTTCCTCCTCTAATCAGGACGGAAAATTCTAGTTCATTATTGATTTGTATTTCAATATTATTTACTGCCAGTAGCTTCATGATCTCCCCAGTTAGATTAAAGTTTCTCGCTTTGAACTTTAATATTGTTTCTTTTTCCCATATCGGATGTGTGGTCCACATATAATCTTGTAACTTTTGAATTCGTACTTTAGTTGTTCAACCAGTTAAGTCCTTCTTGTTTATTCTATTTATTATTTCTGTTGCATGTACTTGTAGTTGTCTATCGTGTAAGTTAAATAATTTGTATCCTAATGGTGAATATAGTATACTAGTAGGTAATTTAGCTGAATGTCCACAAGAGTGATGGAAACAAGATCGTATTTTAGCATTAAGTTTCTCAAGGTCTTTTTCAGTATGTACCAAATCTTGCATTAAGTATTCTATTTGAGAAAATAGAACGTAATTCAGAATATAACGACTTTGTTTGTCAGTGAGTTGTTTTCTACTCATTATAGATGTGGTCCTAAAAACTTTTTCTTTTATTAGATTTTTTTTGATATATTTTTTTTCCATTTTCTTGTATCCAAACCCCTAGATATCGAACTGCTTCAGTGGATTTCTTTGGGATTATTTGATTTTCCATGAAATCGATTCCATTTTTATAGTCTTCTTTGTGTCCATTTACGAGGATTAGTTCTGATTTGAATGCGTTCACATTTATTTTATTGAGGTCAAAAAACTCTTGGACTATTTCTAAAATTTCTTGCATTTGTTGTTTGTTTTGTGTAATCTATACCGTATCATCCATATATGCCAGAAATGATATGTTCCGTGTTTCATACACTTGTTCTTGTAGGGTCATCCCTATAAGAAATATGAATACTTAAAATATACTTAAAATATACTTAAAATGTATTTAATTTTAAGTATATTTTAAGTATATTTTATTAATAAAATAAATATAAATTAAGTATTAAACAATGGAAAAAAATAATATATTTAAATTTCTTAAAATGTACTTAAAATGTATTTAAAATCCATTAAAATCTATTTAAAATCTGTTAAAATATATTTAAAATGTATTTAAAATATACTTAATTCTTTCCATTTTAAGTATATTTTAAAAAGGCAATATATACTTAAAATATTATTAAATAAAATAGTTTGAACTAAAAATATTAAATATGTTTTAAATATGTTTTAAATATATTTTAAATATTTATTAATTATAGTTTAAATATATTCTAAAAATGTTTTAAATGTTTATTAAATATTTATTAAATATCAAATAATATTAAATATTATATATACATTTTTTGTGTAACTAAAATAAAGCTTATTATTATTCGATAAAAATAATTAAATTAAAATTAAGCTCATGATTATACAATAAAAATAATTAAATTAAAACACATATGCGAAACTAAAATAAAACTCATGATTATACAATAAAAATAATTAATTTAAAGCGCATGTGCGATATACCTTAAATTAAAGCTTATGATTTTCGCGAAACTAAAATAAAGTTAATAAAATTAATTAAATTAAAATTAAGCTCATAATTATACATAAAATTGATGTCTTAAATTAAAGCTCATGATTTTTGAATAACTAAAATAAAGCTCAATAAAAAGAATTAAATTAAAGTGCTTATGCATATACCTTAAATTAAAGCTCACGATTTCGCGAAACTAAAATAAAGCTCATTATTATTCAATAAAAATAATTAAACTAAAATAAAGCTCATGATTATACAATAAAAATAATTAAGATTAAAGCGCATATACCTTAAATTAAAGCTCACGATTTTCGCGAAATTAAAATAAAGTTCATTATTATTCAATAAAAATAATTAAATTAAAGTGCATATGTGATATACCTTAAATTAAAGCTCATGATTTTCGCGTAACTAAAATAAAGCTCATTATTATTCATAAAATAATTAAATTAAAATTAAGCTCATGATTATACAATAAAATTATTAAATTAAAGCGCAATGCGCATATACCATAAATTAAAGCTCACGATTTTCGCGAAACTAAAATAAAGTTCAATAAAAATAATTAAATTAAAATTAAGCTCATGATTATACAATAAAAATAATTAAATGTGATGTCTTAAATTAAAGCTCATGATTTTAAAATAAAGCTCAATAAAAATAATTAAATTAAAATTAAGCTCATGATTATACAATAAAAATAATTAAATTAAAAGCGCATATACCTTAAATTAAGCTCATCATTTTCGTGAAAAACTAATATAAAGCTCATGATATACAATAAAAATAATTAAATTAAAGCGCATATGCGATATACCTTAAATTAAAGCTTATGATTTTCGCGAAACTAAAATAAAGTCAATAAATTAATTAAATTAAAATTAAGCTCATGATTATACATAAAATGTGATGTCTTAAATTAAAGCTCGTGATCTTTGAGTAACTAAAATAAAGCTCAATAAAAAGAATTAAATTAAAGTGCTTATGCATATACCTTAAATTAAAGCTCATGATTTTCGCGAAACTAAAATAGAGCTCATGATTATACAATAAAAATAATTAAATTAAAGTGCTTAATGCATATACCTTAAATTAAAGTTCATGATTTTCACGAAACTAAAATAATTATTCAATAAAAATAATTAAATTAAAGCGCATATGCGATATACCTTAAATCAAAGCTTATAATTTCGCGAAACTAAAATAAAGTTCATTATTATTCAATAAAATAATTAAGCTCATGATTATACAATAAAAATAATTAAATTAAAGCGCAATGCGCATATACCATAAATTAAAGCTCACGATTTCGCGAAACTAAAATAAAGCTCATTATTATTCAATAAAAATAATTAAACTAAAATAAAGCTCATGATTATACAATAAAAATAATTAAGATTAAAGCGCATATACCTTAAATTAAAGCTCACGATTTTCGCGAAATTAAAATAAAGTTCATTATTATTCAATAAAAATAATTAAATTAAAGTGCATATGTGATATACCTTAAATTAAAGCTCATGATTTTCGCGTAACTAAAATAAAGCTCATTATTATTCATAAAATAATTAAATTAAAATTAAGCTCATGATTATACAATAAAATTATTAAATTAAAGCGCAATGCGCATATACCATAAATTAAAGCTCACGATTTTCGCGAAACTAAAATAAAGTTCAATAAAAATAATTAAATTAAAATTAAGCTCATGATTATACAATAAAAATAATTAAATGTGATGTCTTAAATTAAAGCTCATGATTTTAAAATAAAGCTCAATAAAAATAATTAAATTAAAATTAAGCTCATGATTATACAATAAAAATAATTAAATTAAAAGCGCATATACCTTAAATTAAGCTCATCATTTTCGCGAAAAACTAAAATAAAGCTCATGATATACAATAAAAATAATTAAATTAAAGCGCATATGCGATATACCTTAAATAAAAGCTCACGATTTTCGCGAAACTAAAATAGAGCTCATTATTATTCAATAAAAATAATTAAATTAAAATTAAACTCATTATTTTCGCGAAACCAAAATAAAGTCCATTATTATACAATAAAAATAATTAAATTAAAATTAATACAATGATTATGCAATAAAAATAATTAAATTAAAGTGCATTAAAGCTTAAGATTTTCACAAAAGTTGGTGTGTTAATTTAAGTACATGATTATACAATAAAATTAATTTAAATTAAAGTGCACATACCTTAAATTAAAACTCAACACTAAAAAAATTTTCACGAGATCAAATTAAAGCTCATGATTTTGCGAAACTTAAATAAAGCTCTCGATTTCCTTATAAAATGATTATATTAAATTAAAACTTAATATTTTTTTCGCAACTAGATATTTAGATGCAATTTTTTATTTATTATCTTTTATAGAAGGTTACATAAGGTAAAAAACTATTTTCTGTTTCTAATACGTTTAGATTTTCGGATAATACTTTTATTATCTATAAATATAAAAGAAATATAATTATAAATAAATTAATTATTAATAAATAAAACTATAAAAAAATTATCCATTATATTTACAATTATTTCCACTATTGTTTTCATTTTCATTGTTATCTTCATTTCTTTTGTTATTTAGTTCTAAACTATTTTCAACATTTTCAATGTTATCTAAACCATTTTCAATATTAGGAGAAACATCTAAAGTTTTCTTATATTTCTCTTTATTATTTTGATAATAGCCTTAAATATTTAATAATAAATATTAATAGTTAGTAGATTAAATAAAAATAAAAAATAAATATAAATGATTACTTACGTGCACGTTGGATGTATGAAATCATCATTTTTCTAATAATCCAATCTCCTTCCGAAGGTGGAAAATCAGAATTTGATTTCTTGAACTAATAATAATTAATTTATTTTATTTATACAAAGAAATACTAATCTATATATAGATTTACCTTTTTAATTACATCGGAAATAATTTGCACTTTTTGTGCACGAAAACTTTTAGATAAATCAGCAATTTCTTCACATATGTCACGCATTGATTGCTATTATTTTTAATTAATATTAATTATATTATTACATAAATATATTAATTATATAAATCATTTATATTATATAATAATGAGTTTTACCAGATATCCTTCCCATTTGTTTTTTTGATTTGTAAATCCACATATTTCCTGAAGATTTCCCTTTTCTTTGTTTATAGGTGAACTAATTTCCTATAGTAACAATTAACACATTACTTGTATTTTTCTAAAAATAAAATAATACCTTTTATTACTTGCACACTTACTTTATCTAAGTTACGACTTGTATTATTAGTTGCATTTAATGCTGCAAGTACTTTTGTTATAATTTCATGATCACGATTAGACATGGTGAGAAACAAACAATAAAAACAAAGAAAATGAGAATAACAAATAATAAACAAGCACATTATATATATACACAAAATAAATAATAAACATGTGATAATAGATCAGATTTTAATTTAAAAATTCTTAAAATAGAAATAATTAAACTTAAGAGTGTCCTTAAAATAGATCCCGGGTCTAGAATAAATTTATCCTAAACTTAAAGTCAAAAATATATTACATGTATTGTAAAAATTTTAGATTAAACATTCTATAATAATTTTTTTGACATTTGTAATTTAATATCTATTATTTTTTCAATTCTTGTTTAATTGATTTAGAATCTTTATAATATATGTAATTAGTAGAAGAGTATATTTAAAA